GGGGAGCTCGTGTGTGTGGTGACCAAGGGTCATCTGGCCCCCGCGCAATCCCACTGCTCTGGGGCCCCCGCACCGCGGCCCCGACACCTGACCTTTGATGGAACCAAAACATCCGCGAATGCGCAGCGGCTCTGGCCCGCCTTTCAGCACCCGGCGAGCGGCGTTTTGCTTGTGTTTGGTGGCCCGTTGCCCGCTCCTGGGGGCCGGTCCCAGGCCTGCCTGGCCCTTCTCCGGCCCTCCTTGCTCACCCAGGACGAAGGAAGGACTTGTTACCACGTCAGCAAGCCTTGCTTCTAAACTGAAATGATGGGGAAAGGTGAAAGTGGGTCCCTCTAGACAGCAAATGACAGTGACTCCGGGAATAGTAATGAACAGTGTCCCTGTACCGTTGACCACATTATATCGTTTTCCTGCCACCGTGGTTGTGAAGTCTGTGCCATCACGGAACTCATTCGCTGTCACACCCCTGGCAGCCCCCACCAGGTGCCAGGCACCGTCCTGGGCACTTGCTCACGATTAAACGCCCTCCCGAAGTTTATGTCCCAGTTGGGGGACACACGTAAGCACATGATTTCTGGTCGTGGTCAGTGCCCTGACCAGAATAAAACATGTTCATGGCATCGCGAGGGCAGAGGGCAGGGAGGGTGTGCAGGGCCGGAAGCTGCATGGGGTGGGATGGCCCTGGCAGTCCTCTGAGAGAGGGACGGTTAAGCCAAACCCTGAGTGACACGGAGCCAGCCGTATGCAGACCTGGAAGGAAGTGTCCCCAGCAGGGGGAACAGTCAGCAGAAGGCTCTGAGACGGGCACAAGTATGAGAGCAGCAAGAGGGTCGGACGGTGGGCAGATGCCATGGAGGACACCTCGGCCCAGAGAGGCCAGCGGAACCGTAAAGTGTCACGTAGCCTGTGAACGTCAGAGCTGCCTTTTCAGGCCTGGGTTTCCCAATCCCACCCTCCTTTCGTTGCCCGGTGCTGTGTTTTCCGTCGGTCTGGGCGAGTCTGGATTTTCTGCATTTTGGTGAAGACGTGTGCTCTGTTTACCACCTGGCCGGGCATGATGGATTGGGCCGGGCTGGGTCGGGGAGATGAGGGACTGCGCCTCATCTTGGATGCTTTTCGCAGAAGCTTGTAGAGTTCCATTGACGTGATACCTTCCGTAGATGGGATTGTTTGAGGCTTGGACAGGCCCTAATCTGGAAATGGCTTCTCCTTAGAGTGGTGGTTGCTACTGCAGTCACCGCGATGGGCTTCCTCAGGACAAGGGGTTGTCAGAGTGGGGGAAGGGTTGCTCAAGAGCGTGACTATCCAAAAAGCATCAGCTGTTTTCATCATGAATTTTTCGTTGGTTTCTGTCAGCATTTCTTGCTCTTCCCCTCCTGTTAGGACACAAGCAGAAGGTATGAAAACAAGGCTGGCAGTTTCATCACTGGAATTGATGTCACCTCCAAGGTAAGACAGACCATGATTTATTTATTCATTTTGATAAGCGGGTGAACTTGGTTCCTAGGATTAGTGGAACTGCAATTATTCTTTACCACCGGTTTTCTTTAGTTGCTGGATTAAAATTTATTTAGCTTAAATTTTGTATTACACAATGATGCCATTGTGCATTCTGGAAACATCCAGGTAGTATTTGTGTCTTCTCATGTTCATGCTAAGATAAAATCACTATACCTGTGCTCAGTCATATCCAAGAAAAGTTCTGCACTGCAAATGTTTTCTTATGCTGTATACATTCTTTAAAAGTGATACACTATTTTTACTTTAATGAAACAAAACATGAAAAGTTCCTGGCACATAGTAGGCTTTTAGTAAATGTCTTTTATTCCTCACTGGCTGCAGGCTTAGAAAAATAGGATTTCCTGCCCTGGCTGGTGTGGCTCAGTTGGTGGAGCATCATCCTGTGCAACAAGGTCGCAGCTTCAGTTCCCGATCAGGGCACATACTTAGATTGTGAGGTTTGATCCCTGATTGGGGTGCGTGCGGGAGGCAACCAGTTGACGTGTCTCTCTCACATCGATGTTATTTTCTCTCTCTCTCTTCCCCTTCCTCCCTCTCTAAAACAAAAACAAAAACAAAACAAACAAAAAAAACCCGGAAAAATAGGATTTCCTTACTGTGTGGCTATCTAAACTTTGAAGACCAAGTTAGCTGAATTATTCTCGGTACCTGGGAATACCATCTTATCTAGTGATTGCTGTTACTGATTACCAACTTCACTGTAATTCCTCACAGAGCCAAACCTATTATTTTCCTTATTATAAATAGTGCATATTTGTTGCTTTAATTGGTGATATCCAGTTTAGGCATTCTTTCTACTTTAATGTGTGCAATTGAGTGGAATAGAATCTTGAATTCTGAATAATAGTACTATGTTGCTATATTGGATGTATAAAATAAAAAATAAAAATGTCATGCTTACATTTTTATATTTTATTTGGGACTCAATCTGTCTTAGATGGCTTAAAGGCCAAAAGAAAGAAGTGATCTTTTAGACAAACAAGAAAATAAAGTGAAGATGTTTTCTTATTGTAATTGAACCAGAAGTAGACTGTACTGTTCTTAATCCTACAGTTTGCCATTATATTAAACAAATATAATGGGGGAAAGGGTGGTAGTCCCAGAATTGGTACTTAAATTGTTACTAAAGAAAGGTAGATTAGCTGTTTGCACTGGGAAGATTTCAGGGAAAAAAATTAGCATAACTGTTGGGAAATAACAGAAGTGTTGTTGCTTTACCAATCCCCACAAGCTTTCTATACAGTCAGACCTTCAATTAGTGTGGCAAAGTCAGTATGTAATTAGCGAAGGGTTCCCAAGAGCTATCAGAAACTCACAGTTGGATCTGGATTTATTTTAGCTCTTGGAAAAAAAAACTTATGAAGCTGATTATTTTGTTTTTCAGTGAAGCGTCAATGCTTTTTGTCACTTAAAAATGAAAACTGGCAAGTCCATGGACATAAGCCTACAAGAGAGAGAGTTTCTTTGCCTCAAAGCTATTTTTAAACCAGGAAAAAGCCTTAGGGAGTGGACTGCTCATGCAGACATAATGTGGATGAGCGTGATAGGTGTGATTACCATGCACACAGACAGTGAAATGGGGATGGAGGGGGGCTCCTAGAAATAGCACTGAGCTCAGAAGTTCTGCCCCACTTACTGCTGAAGTTCCTCCAACAAACCTTTTAACTTTTTTGTGCTTCAGTTTCTGCACCTGGAAAATTGAGATTTGAGATTATTTAGTTGTAATTTGTTTGAATCATGACTGCTAATAAATGAAATGTCAGAGAATTAAGCATTCCTTATTACTCACTGGATCAACTAATATTCATTGAATTCCTGCTCTGCCTCAGACACAGTGCTAGGCATTGAATCATCATGGAGATTATTACAAATTATAGCAGCATAATGTACACCCTCCCAGTCATTGACTTTGAATATCCAGTTCTCTGCAAAAATTATTAAAGGTACATTGTTGCTTATTTCTTCTGATTTATTTTAGGGTTGTCACTGATGCATTATGTTGTATTTGTGATTGTGTGTGCGATCTGACTTTTCTCGTTCATTGAAACATGGCTTTTTCTGTACCTTCTAGGAAGCAATTGAAAAGAAAGAACAGCGAGCCAAGCGCTTTCATTTACGATCAGAAGTAGATCTTGCCCAAAGAAATATAGCCTTGGACCGAGACATGATGAAGAAAGGTACTGGGTGTTTGGGGGAGTTTTTCCACATTTCCCAGACAGTAACTTTTTCCTACCATGGCTGGTGCTTCTGGCCTCGCCGTGTATGTCCAGTCCTCATTCAGATACTCCCAAAGGAAAGGAAGTCTCCATTTTTGAGGTGGTCTGTTTAGCTGTGTCTCAGATGTTAGAGCTGAAAAAAAAGATTGTCTTGTCAGAGGAGGCTCAAAGAACGTCACCCAGTTAGTGGCAGAGCTGAGATTAGAACCTGTGTGCTTCTATTGACTCACCCATTCCTTCTCTCATCATAGAAAGCTTAACTTTTCTTTGTTTTTAACTGTATTGGAAGTAGCCCTAGCCAGTTTGGCTCAGTGGCTAGAGCGTTGGCCTGCAGACAGCAGGGTCCCGGGTTCCGTTCTGGTCAAGGGCACATACCTTGGTTGCAGGCTCCCGGCCCTGGTCTGGGGCATGCAGGCAGCAACCAGTCGACGTGTCTCTCTCACATTGGTGTTTTTCTCTCTCTCTCTCCCCCTCTCCCTTCTACTCTCTCTAAAAATTAATGGAAAAAATACCCTTGGATGAGGGGAAAAAAATGAAATAAATGTATTAGAAGTATATCACAGTGAGACCTCTTTAAGGGGAGTCAGAACAATATTGGATTGGTGGGGGAAAGCTGTCATTACTTCTTTAGATGCAGGCTTGTGATTTTATCTTATTTTTCTGTTTTATTAGGGTAAGTGTTTTGCTTCCTGGAACTCACCCTGAATTATAAGGAGTAATCTGCCCCAGTCTTCTGAAGCAATTAATAAAATAAAGGGAAAATTTTTAGTGCGTTCATAGCCATATTTATTATTCCACGCTAATATAAATCCATGAGTACAAAAGGTCTCCCTCTGTTGTATTTGCAAATTTGGGTATTTCTGAAGGACTTAATAGGCAGACCTCTGCATGTTAAAGGTCTGTGCTCTGCTGTATGAGTTTCTCTAGGCTTGCTTGATTGATAAAAGCGTGTTGAATGAACGAAAGAATAACTACTATTTGGGGGGAACTTGCTATCTTACCCGGCACTGTATTAGTTGGCATATTGCATATTCGTTTCTTATTCATTTCTCACAACAACCCTATGAGGAATATATGTTTTATTCCTGTTTTACAAAGAAGTAGAAATAGGCTCAAAGAAGTTTAGTAAATGCCTGAGGTTATGCAGCTCGTAAAAGTGGAGTCAGGATTTCGACCTAGGTTTATCTGACTCTAAAGCCTTGCTCTTAACTACTTTGCTCTGTCGCCTCATGTATGCGATATGACAGACAGACCCAAATCTCCTCAGTCTGTCCCAGCGGGTAGAGTAGCTTGGATGCAGAGCTCAACTCCGAATCCTGCTTTACACTGTTTTCTGCCTCATGAGTTCAAGTTGGAAATACGGCCTTGCTGCCCTTGCAGGCTGGGTGTCCAGGCATCTACCTGAGTGGACTTCTGTTTCAGGAAAAGTCCTTTGAAGGCTAAGGATAGCTGTGCAGCTTGGCATTCATGTGCCCGCTCAGTCTGGGCCCAAGCAGGGCTCTGAAGCCTCTCATAACTGCAGCTTGCTTACCTCTAGCCGGTGAGCGTTCATCGTGGCAGTTCATGCCTTTTCGTTCTGCTGATTTTGCCCTTCCTTGTCCCATGCTTTGTTTTGTTCAGATGTCATTTTCCCCATGAAGCCCTAGTCACCCACTCAAATTTCTTTCCTCTGTTGGTGCTGGTGCCCTCTTGGAATCTTTTTCTCAGTTCCTTGGTGAATGTGGACAAGTTATTAAACCTTTTTAGGTCCAAATTTCCTTGTTTATAAAGTGAGAATATGATACCTACCCAAATAGGATCATTTCTGGAGTTAAATTTCAAAAAAAAAATAAATTTTTTTTTTGAAAAGCAATCCTAATCTTATGGTTTTAAAGATATTCCTAAAAAGCAATAGACCTGCCTGGATGAGCTGGGACACGTTGCTCATTTTAATCTGTTTTTCATCCAGAAGGCAGCATAGTCTAGGGTAGTATTCCTGAACTCTGGAGAACCCTGCCGCCTATCCCAGATCATTTTAAATTAGGATGGGAGGTAGGCGAGGGGTTTGTATAGGTCCCAGTGATAGTTATTTTTATATCTCCCTAGGTAATTCTAATGTACAGTCAAGATTGAGAACCATTGGTATGGTGATTAAGAGTGTGGGTTCTGGCCGAAACCGGTTTGGCTCGGTGGATAGAGCGTCGGCCTGCGGACTGAAGGGTCCCGGGTTCGATTCTGGTCAAGGGCATGTACCTTGGTTGCGGGCACATCCCCAGTGGGGAGTGTGCAGGAGGCAGCTGGTCGATGTTTCTCTCTCATCGATGTTTCTGACTCTCTATCTCTCTCCTTTCCTCTCTGTAAAAACTCAATAAAATATATTTAAAAAAAAAAAAAAAAAAAAGAGTGTGGGTTCTGGCCCTGGCCTTTTTGTTCCGTGGTTACAGCATTGGCCCAGGGACTGAAGAGTTGCAGGTTCAATTTCTGGTCAAGGGGATGTACCTCGGTTACAGGTTCCCTGGCCCTGGTGGGGACTCATGTGGGAGGCGACCAATCGATGATGTGTCTCTCTCATGTCTAGGTCTCTCTCTCTCTCTCTCTCTCCCCCTCTTTCTCCCTTCTCCCTTCTCCCCTCTCCCTGTTCCCCTCTCCCTTCTCCCCCTCCCTTTCCCTCCTTTCCTTCCTCTTTCTAAAATCAGTTTGTCTTTTTTTGAAGGAAAGAGTATGGGTTCTGAAGCCTGGGTGCCTATATTTAAATCCTGACCTGTTCCTTTCTAGCTCGGTGACTTGGGGAAGTTACTTAGGTTCTAAGAAATTCAGTTTCTTCATAGGGAGAGGCAGATAACAGTAGCTTTCATAGGGTTGTTGGGAGGCTCTAGCACAGTGGTTCTCAACCTTCCTAATGCCACGACCCTTTAATACAGTTCCTCATGTTGTGGTGACCCCCAATTTCATTCTTACAAATTGAACATAATTAAAGCATATGATCAATCACAAAAACAATATGTAATTATGTATGTGTTTTCTGATGGTCTTAGGCGACCCCTGTGAGAGGGTCGTTCAACCCCCAAAGGGGTCGTGACGCACAGGTTGAGAACCGCTGCTCTAGCATAATGTTACAGTTCTTATGCCTGGTACATAGTAAGTCCCCGATAAATGTTAGTTGTTATTTTCATTATCTGGCATTTTCCATCTTCCCAGCAGTCTTCTAAGTGGCCTAGCCTCTTGGGAGAATGGGAACATTGGAATAAACATCTTGACTCCTGCAGCCACATTAGGTGTCAAGTTATTGCTTCTTAATACCAATGGCAATAAAGATCCGTTTGGTAAATGCTTACTATATGCCACTCAGCCCTGTACAGGGAAGGGAATTACCATTTCTGTTTGACTGGTGGGGAAACCAAGGTGCTGAGAGGCCGAGAACCTTGCCTGTGGTCCCACAGCTAGGTAAGCAGCAAGGCTGGGATCTGAAGGCTGGTCAGGCTGAAGCCGGTGTCCCTCAGCTCTCTGCCAGCTCTCAGGTAGAGTGTGGGATGTGCTGCACTGATCATTCTGCATCAAGCATGACTTGCTACTTACTTTTAGCGACTCAGGGTCGAGCAGCTTTCGTTTCCTTATCTCCAAGATCAAACCCTTTGTGGTTGGAAGGAACCTTAGAGGTCATCAAAAGTCACCTCCTGCAGGCCTTTTGGCAACGTTCCCAATGGTCTTCTGGCTTCTGCTTGAACATTTCCTAGTGACGGCAGAAGAACCATTTATGAAACAGTCAATTTTTGGATACATGTTAATACACGTTCCTCGTGTTGAACAGAAATTGCTTTCTAATAATTTCTGTCTGTTAGTTATTGTGTGACCCTGAGAACAACATTATGTTCTTTCCTCATTCCCATAATAACCCTTCAGGTGAATGAGCAGTAAGCCCATTTCCTACACTTCGTTTATGTGACTTGACTTTCTAGCCTCTCTCTTCTACGCTCTTTTCAATCTCCAAATGTCCTTTATAGGGTGAGGTGTAGATTCAGATATTGTTGGGTTCATGCAGAGTATGGCAGGGCCACACCATGATTTCTGTCTTACCCATTTCATAGTGTGCTCACCTTCCAGTCACCCGAAGCACCCAGGTCTTTTCCCTAGGAATTCTCCCCATCAAAGCAGTCTTGTCTTGTACTTGAGGCACTGTTTAAAAATTACTTTCTTATTTGTCTTTACCAAATTATTTATTAATTTCAGGACTCCATTTCAGTCTGTCAAGTTCATTTTCATCTTAACTGTACCTTTTAGCATTTTAGCTACATTCCTCACTTTGGTATGCCAGGCCTCTGCATCTTTACCCAGTTGTTGGTAAATGTTGGTCAGGATAATCCCAAATCGTGCCATGAAACATAGACCCATGAATTGTTTATTAGTTTATTATCAGGTCCGCATTTCATTTTATTGTCATGAGGAACTAGATTACATGCCTTAATGGTCTCGAGATAGAACTTGAATTTCTTGGTGTGGGGTAATGCTGCCAAAAAAAGAAAAGGGGTTTGTGTGACTTGCTTCTTAGAGAACTCCCGTCATTTCCAATGGGAGAGACTTGGTTTCATTTTTTGTTTGCTTTTAACTGTTCACCCGAGGATATTTTCTAGTGATTTTTTTAGTGAGAGTGAAAGACAGGGGGAGAGACAGATAGAGAGAAACATCGTTATGAGAGTCACACATCGATCGGTTGCCTCCCGTACACACCCTGACCAAGGACAGGGATTGAGCCTGCAACCAAGGCACATGTCCTTGACCAGAATCGAACCTGCATCCCTTCAGTCCACAGGCTGACACTCGGTCCGCTGAGTCAAACTGGCTAGGCTTGGTTTCTTAAGGGATTGTAGATTCTGTTTAATCAGCTACTTTTTAAAAATTTCAGAGAATGACATTAATTTAAATTAATATATATATTTAATTTATA